AGCTGGGCAGGCCGTGTCTGACAGCCAAAGAACCGAGTCCTGGCTTGTGGGGTGGTCTAGAGCTGAAGTCTACTTTGGGTTTACTATCAGGGATTTTTCCTTCCTCCTTTCCCTGTGTCCCTCTTTCCTGTGTTTCTAAGCGAGGGCACCAGTGAGTGCTGCCTGCTCCCTGCAGCAGCATCTCCAAGCTGTCAAGTTCAGGTGGTCCCCTCCTCTCTCACTTTCTATGCTCTGCTCTTCCCTCCTATAAATTTTAAAACATGTTCCTCCTCTCTGGCCACTGGATTGTCACCAAAGCACTTGCCGGGCCCGTCTGGTGCCATCTCAGCGCCACAAGGAAGGCCAGGCTGTCTCCACCAGTGAATACACCGCCACTTCTGGGCAGTCTCCTTGACCGTCCCTTGGCGACCTCGTGTTATCCCAGTGGGGTGGGAAGGGAGGCTGCCCAGCCTGGAGCCAGATGTGACTCAGGCCACAGCCGACCCGCTTCCTGCATCTGGCACCGTGGTCCTGCTCGCTCTTCCCAGAAGAGGCCTCTGACCTCAAGACGGAGACCCACTCGTGCATCGCAGCTCTGCGCAGCAGCCACCCCCTCCCCAGAGAGGAGCTCGTGTGTCTGAAGTGAAGGGTATATTTCTTCTGTCGTGTTGATGTTCCTTCTTAATTTATAGGACTTTTTAATGTAAAAAAAAAATTGCACTGAACTCTATAAACATAAATGCTGCTTTTTGTAGCTCATATAAAAAAAGTCCCATATTTGTAGTATACTGCAATAATATTTTTTACATCCAGCTCTTTAAGTGATCCTCGTTCTGGTGGCTTTGTGTAAATATGTTTGCCCTAGTTGAATTAAGAAACTTTACAGGTTATAAAATGAAAACAAAAAATAAAGTATTTGTTTTCTGCTAGATGCAAAAATGACTAAGCATGTCTATTTTATCAAGCTCTTGTATTTTTTGAAGTTATGAACTATAAAATGTTGAAACAACATATTCTGCTGGGACAAAATGTTAGGTGATTTGCAGTGAGTGGTGCCCCCAGCACTGGGAGTTTTGAGCCAATGGGGGCAGTCAGCTGGTGGCATTGGAGAAGTGCTCATTTGTGACAGTCACTCTCACATGCTTTGTTGTTTTCATACAGAGACACAGGTGGAGCCCCGGGAGGAGGGAGGGGAGAGTCAGCAGCTGTATTCTCTGGAAGCAGCGAGGTCCCGCGATGGTCGGGGAGATTCATGGGCATCCCTGGGTGCCCCACTCCGGCAGTCCATTTGCCTTCCTAGTGCTTGGCCCACTCTGACCATTTTTTTAATGTGCCTTTTGGGTTGGCTGGAAACTGAAGTGGAAGTAGTCTGGAGAGTGACAGGGCTGGGGCAGTTTTTCCTCCTCTTGCTGGAGGGTGACCACATTTCCGGACAATTCATACTCTTTTGCTTCGTGTTTCCTTGCCTTCTGCCAAGCTCCATTCAGGCAGCAAAGGTTCCTTTCTGCTCTTCGTGATACTGACCAGAGCAGCCACCACCTCGACCTCTGTGCCCCTCTTGCCTCACCCAGGGCTCAGCCCTAATTAAAACAGCCCGGAGACGCTGGTGCTGCAGGTCCGTCCCCCTGGTGTGTTGGCAGCTCTCTCTTTGGCATCTTCCTGCCTGTTCCTGAGGCTGGAATTGGCTGGGTGGTCACCTGCCTGGGCCAAGGCTCCGTTCCTGCCTTTCTCAGATTCCGAAAAGAAAGGCTTTGAGTTGATGAGAAGCACGTGCTGGGCAAACGCAGCCCTTACCTGAGCCCTCCCACCCACTCAGTGCTCCTCATCTGACTCAGAAGCATCACTTTTTGGATAACTAGCACTGGAAAATGAAATCATCTGTTGAAGCGAAGGGACTCATTTTTCTTTGCTTTCAGTCCATGTAAATATTTAAATAATGCAGTATTAACGTGTGTGCTGCTTCCCACTAGCTTATAGATGGAGCCATACTCTGGCCACCCTCTGCCTTCCTGGGGGCAGTCTCCTTTAACGTCCAGAATAGTGATTTTGAAACTTAAAAGAAAAACCTCTCCTTACTTACAAACATAACAGATTGTATTTAACTTTATCACATATGATAGAGATATACATGCTGTAAAAAGAGGGAAAGGAACTTTCTAATAAACCAATGATTTGTGGAAACTTGGAGTCTGTCATGATTGCTGTCCCATCCACACACTCAGGCGGGGTTGGAGCCGGGGATTAGAAACAGCCTGTTGTTTGCAGTGATCCTGAGTCAATACCTGTGAGCCCTTTGGAATCGTGCTGTGAATACACAGACTGTACAGGGGGAGAAAGATTGTGCTTATGGGAGAAGTCATAGTAGCTGAGTTTCGTGCCATATCAGGCGGATGTCTTGGAATGTATACCTCCTTTTCACTCCCTCTCCCACAAGAAGTTTCTTGTTTCCTTTTTTTTCTTTTTGTTTCTTTCTCCTCCCCCCCCCCCAGGGGGGACCAGCAGGCAAGACTTTTATTAACAAATACGCAGTCTGTGTGTAGGAGAACACAACACGTAGGCGCTCACTCCGTGGGCTTAGAATTTCTGACTTTGAATCTTAAGATGTTGGGCTAATTTGGGGCCAATGGTATTATAAATATCTGCCTGGCCTTTGCCCTCCAGGCGTTCTGTCCTCCAGGTTCTCAGACCTGCCTGTTTTCCTAAAATAGCGAAGATCTCCGTCCAGAAAGAAAGGATGTTAGAAAATGGGTTTTCCGCCAGGCTCGGTGGCTCAGCCTGTAATCCCACGCCTTTGGGAGGCTGAGGTGAGTGGATTGCCTGAGCCTGCAGATTCGAGACCCGTCTGGGCAACTTGACGAGACCTCATCTCTACAATAAATCAAAAAGTCAGCCAGGTGTGGTAGCACATGCCTGTAATTCCGGCTACTTGGAAGGCTGAGGCAGAAGGATCGCCGGAGCCCAGCAGGTCGAGGCTGCGGTGGCCGGGAGCAGCCACTGCACTCCAGTCTGGGCAACAGAGTGAGACTCCAACTCAAGAAGAAAAAAAAAGGAAAGAAAATGGGTTTTCCGATAGCAGAGACACAGCAAGTCAGAGGCAGCCCGCGCCTGTGTGGTGTGTGCGGTGCGCAGTTATGCGTGACTGCCTTGTTCTGCCAGGGCCATGGCACCTCTACTTGACACACAGAAGGACTCCCTCTTCTACCTCTTCCGTAACTAAGTCAGGCCTTGTTGGCCATTTCCATTCTTAGTTGTCAGTGATGCCTTCTCACCCTTACCAGCTCCCGTCAAAATTGTCACCACGTTTTCCTGGCTTGCCTCCCTGTCTCTAAGATGGGAATAGGACCTTGTGAGCTTACCAGCTTTTCCAGAATCTGAGTACAAGTCACTTTGAAGTCACTGCTTCCCAGTAGAATTGTGAGCTCTGAGAGGACAGGAACTGGTTCTCATCCTTTTTTTTTTTTTTAACCCCTTAGGGTATCTTATATAGTAAACATTTTGATTATTCTAGATAAATACGAGCAAAGTAAAATATCCTTGACTGAGGATTACATGTCAGGATTTGGCAAGGAAACATTCAAAAATGATTTTGTGAAGTTCCTCTAACCTCTTATTCCCTAGCTCAGTAATTGTTAACCAGGTGAAGCCCTAACTATGAAGTGGTCAAGAGATTCCATGACTGGCTGACAGAATGGGGAACTGGGACCAGTGTCGGCATGCCTCTGCCCACTCAAGCACACAGAAGATCAGACTTCTCTCCCTCCCCCCACCTGGATTCCCCATGTTAATGAATGGTACCACTGTCCTGCCAGCCAAAGCTCTGACTTACCTGTGACACCTTTCTGCCACATCCAGGTACTGCCACTGCACTCCAGCCTGGGTGACAGTGAGACTCTGACTCAAAAAATAAAAAAAAAAGGATGTGGCTCTCTTCCTCTACCCAGCAGACTCCTTCCTATCTCCTTCCTGAGAACCTGCTTTTTTGGGAAAACTTAAGTGCCAGGAAGATGTGACACTCCTCCGTAGAAAATGGCTTTGCCGTTCTCAAAACCCATCTCTTTCCACTTTGCCACCTTGTCTGCATCTTCCATCCTTGGTGCACGCTTCCAAGCAGCCTTTCAGCAAATCCCTACTATGCGCAGGGCTCTTGGCCAGGCCCTGGGGCTGCAGAAAGGAGACTCGCTTTCAAGGGACTCATTTTCACAACCCAGAGAACAGACCACGAGTAAATAGCATGACCTGCAGTGTATCCTGTGCAACGGCCCAGGAGCCAGCCTGAGGAGTCCGGGGAGGCTCTCCCTAGGCAAAGACCCCAACAGAACCAAGTCTTGAGGATTGGGTAAGAACTCCAGCTCCCAGAAAGGAGTGGGGCCTGCCTTTCACTGAACAGCCAGAGCTACAGTTCCCCAGAGTGACTCGACTCTTATCCCCTGCCCTTGGCCCCCTAGGCCACGGTCTGTTCACTACCCTCCCTCAGCCCCAGCTGCACCACTATGACCACAGACATGGCTCGGCCAGGGCCTTGGAAGTGGTCGGTGCCTTATCCAAAAACACCCAGCAGCCTCAAGCCTTATCGAAGGCAACAGCTTCCTTCTTCCCCCGCCTCTGGTCAAGTCCCAATGTGCCCTGGGACGTGCCATGGCATGCAGCCGGATGGAGGAAGGAAGGTGTCAGAACATGGTACGTGGACCTGTTCACAGTTGCCCTGTCCCAAGTGGGATAGTGGCTCAGACTCATGCGGTGGTCATGAAAACGGGGAGAAAAGTCAGGAGACAGAATTGGGAGGCAGAGCCGAGGGACTGGGTAACAAACTCTCAGGAACAGGGAGGAGTCATGGCTTTGAACCATAAGCACCCGCCCTCAGGGTGGCCTTGTCCCCTTCCGGCAATCCTGGAGCTACAGCCCTTGCCCACTGCTCAGCAAGTTACTTTGGTCCCAGTTAGATAAGAAAAGACTTCCCGTGAGGGAGGCTGAGGGGAGGGGAAGGAGCTGGTCATTCCTGCCGAGGAGGCTGTGGGAGAAGGATGGCCAGAGCCGAGTGTCCACCGTGTGCCCTCTGGCTTCTGGAGTGGACACTGTTGCTTCTGGGACCCGGGGCTGCCCCTGTGACCTGGGCCTTGAACCTGGACCCAATGCAGCTCACCTTCTACACAGGCCCCAATGGCAGCCACTTTGGGTTTTCGCTGGACTTCCACAAGGACAGCCATGGGAGGTGAGCCCTGGGGGACTTTGGGTGTTGAGAGAGAGGGACCCCCCTCCCCCATCGCTGCTTCTGCTGGCGAGTTCCCCCCTCTGTGATAGTGGTTAAGCAGGGTGGCTTCTGGGGTCTAGGCTGGTGGGACCGGCTCTGGTGGGGATGGTGGGGGCGGGCAGCAGGGAGATGGGCACCAAAACCAGCAAGAGCAAGGGAAGGAACCTCCCTCCTTGACTCCTCGAAACGGGGCACACGTCCTAAACTGACCTGCATAACTCCAACCACCTCCCCCCACCTTCCTGTCTACTCTGTTCCCTTAACCCCCCTCAAAACTACAGCTATTTGAAAAGAAGCAACCAGCCTTTACCGGCTGGTATTGATCAGGCTTTAGAATTAGAGTGCCAAGGTTAAAGTCCTCTTTGTAGCTGTGTGCCCTGAGCCCTTGTTTTGTAGACACTGTGATGCCCAGCTTCGGGGGCTGGAGGGAATAAGGCCCCAGGCCTCTTGTGTCAGCTCTGGCAATTCTGAAGGGTCCTGGGTGTTGGCCCCTACCTGCTAGCACTGGGCTGAATCTCAGCCCAATTCCTTCTTCTGCCCATTCCTTCTTTCCCCTTCTTTCCACAAGTGGTGGCCCCGGGGGCCCTGCTTTAAAATTCTGCACGTCAAAAAAAAAATACAAACCAGGCGCAGGTGGCTCATACCTGTCATCCCAACACTTTGGGAGGCAGAGGCAAGAGGACTGCCTGAGCCCAGGGATTCAAGACTAGTCTGGGCAATTTGGTGAGACCTCGTCTCTACAATAAATCAAAAAATTAGCTGGGGGTGGTGGTGCATGCCTGGGGTTCCAGCTACTTGAAAGGCTGAGGTGGGAGGATCTCCTAGGAGGTCAAGGCTGCAGTAATGTGACCACGACTCAAAAAAATATAGATAGATAGATAGATAGATAGATAGATAGATAGATAGATAGATAGATACCATTTTTTCAAAAGCACATCTGTATTTGGCTAGGACCAGCTAAATGTCACTCGTATTCATGACCAAGACTCCTCCTGACAGCACCGACGGCTGTCTATCACTCCTGTGTTCACTGTGACTTAAATCGAAATCTGCAGGGGTCCACGGCTCTACAGCACCCCACCTCTTTAGGGGCTGCCTTTGGCTTCTCCCAGTCTTTACCTTAGAACCACCTCTGGCAACATCTGGACAGGCGTTCTAGGGAGCCCGCGAGCCCCCGATGGGGGCTTCGGGGGGTCTTTTCCGCAAGGATCTCCAGCCCCTCCGTGTCCGGACCAGACACACGGCCGCAGCCCGGCGTCCGCGCGCCACCCGTCAGGGGGCTCTGCGCGCGTGGTCTCGCCCGCCGAGCGCCAGTGTCACGGCCACAGCGGAG